GTCGTTTTAGTTGTGCGCTGTAGATCAATTCAAAAATGCCCGATTTTTTGCTCGTTTGCAGACACCGAGTTTAGGTCAGATAAAATAAGAAAATTTTAGTCTTGTCCGTCGCTGCTTAACAAATCTTATGGTTTTAGAAAGTAGTTCTATGATGTGTTGTATCGCATACAAAAAATAAACTTCGCTCGTTAAATTTTGAGGGTTCTGTGAGTTTCAGAAAATGGTGAAAATTTGCTTATAAAAATGGCGTCCGAGGGGGTCGAATAGAGTGAAGCTCGTATCTCTAATACAAGAGCAGTGAAGAACCTATGTTTATTATATTTGTCCATTACTCCACCAGACCTATCTATGATGTTAGTATGAACTTATTCTGTTGACCCCCTTCCGTTTACATTTTTAACATTTTGCCCGGTTTTCTCTGACAACCACTCTTAAACACAACCATAGTACAGGATAGTTAGGATTGTATGATTAGTAATGGTAACAGGATTGAGTGGAGTCCAATTCGGTCTGTAATCATACGAGTGATTAACCCATTCGCCCCTGAACCGCCCGTAACCGCCCGTGCGGATCCAGGGGCCCGTTTCTCGAAAGTCCCAGTAACTTTACGGGCCCGAAATCAAAAATTCAAATCGAAATATAAAGAATAAGAGCGCGGGTCCTGGCTAGCAAACTACTCCATTTAGTTTCATTAACTGACCGTTTTATCGTGTTAGATGCAAAACTATTGAAACCTCGATCTTTAATGTAAACGGAGACAGCTTACCGGGCCCGTTAATCATCGGGACTTTCGAGAAACGGGCCCCAGGTCCTTTCTACCTTTTGTGACGTCATCAGTTTTAACGGTCAAGGACAACTTTCTTCGCTAACTTGTGCAGAGTGAAGAGATCTTTCAAACCATACCAGAATGAGCACTATTCAGTCAAGGACACCGGAGAAAGAAGCAAAAAACCACGTGACATTGCCCTGAAAATCTCCATAAAAATCTTGTTCCATTGCCCACCTACCTTTCCTTTCACCTAATCGTAAGATCTTAAAAGCTTTCCTAAAAACTCTTCCCACCAAAATGAAGCCCACTAAATGCCCGGCAAGAGGAAAAAAATGAGGCAAGAAAAGCGAAAAAAGAAGGGAGGAGAGAAAGGGAAAAGTAAAAGTCACGACTGCTGTGTCACTTTTAAGCCCAAAAACTCGAAATTTTGCTTTCTGCGCATGCCCGAACTTCGCAAGCTGATATATTGCATCTGGATCAGAAGGCCGCGAGGTGTACGACCTGTAAACCGGTTTGTGGTAAGTTTTAGCTCTTTATAGCACGACAGTGACCAGAAAACCACTCGATTAGCTTCAAAATGCGTTTTTCGGCAAAATCTCCAGGAGCGAATGGGTTAACAAAATCGGACGACCGCGTAGCGGTAGTCCCGGATTTGTTTAATCACGAGTATGATTACAGACCGAATTGGACGACACGAAGTTTTGTTACCAATTAATCATAACTTTAAAAAAATTTGTGATATATTAGGCTCTTTTTTTTTTAATCAAAACACAAGAAATTCCGAGATTTTTTTGCTACCAGTGAAAAAAAAAGCCATTTAAGCGCGCTCGTGATGGCGCGTACTGTCCAATTACTTAGGCATGACGCATACTGTCCTATTTAACTGTCCTATTAAGGCTGAAATCAGGGCAGTTGATAGGCAATCAGATTTAAGGATTTTGTTATAGTTATGATTAGTAATGGTAACAGGACTGAGTGGAGTCCAATTCGGTCTGTAATCATACGAGTGATTAACAAAATCGGACGACCGCGTAGCGGGAGTCCGATTTGTTTAATCACGAGTATGATTACAGACTGAATTGGACGACACGAAGTTCTGTTACCAATTAATCATAACTTTAACAAAATTTGTGATACAATAGGCTATTTTTTAAACCAAAACACAAGAAATTCGAAATCCTGTTTTGCTAGCAGTGAAAAAAAAAGCCATTTAAGCGCGCGCGTGATGGCGCGTACTGTCCTATTAAACTGTCCAATTAAGGCTGAAATCAGGGCAGTTGAGAGCCAATCAGATTTGACAATTTTGTTATAGTTATGATTAGTTTATTTATTTTATTGTTTTATGGTATTCATAAACAGTTGTAACATAGGATATGTATCTTTTTCTTGTGTGAAATAAAGACCGATTATTATTATTATTGTTATCATTATTATCTGTCAGTTGGGTCAGTGAAAGGACCCAAAGGGCTAACAGATGAATTTTATGGCTTTATAAAGTCGAGAAAACGTTCTATTTTTGCCGGATTGATTCCTATTTAAATGACATTGCATTTACAGCAATTAAAAGAGATGCAAAGTTCTAAACAAGGTATGGGAAGCGTACCATTGATCAATGGAAGGTATACGAGAGGGGGTACCTTTTTCGTGAAAAATGGTATATGAAAGGGTAAAGGGTTGGACCTCGGGCCGGAGCCTCCCCGTATATAAGCTTGTTGGGTAACCCCCTGGGCGGCGCTGGGACAAAATACGTAGACTGAGGGAGAGCGTCTTCAGTTTTTGAATACTGTGCAAGAGCTGGGTACAGTCGAACCTCCACTAACAACCACCGCTCTCTACAACGGCCACTTCATTTTGTCCTGGCGGACAGTCCAAACATTGACTCTCATTTAAACCTCCCTACAACTCTCCACAACGGCAACGGTCACTAAAACATGTTCCCATCTCCTAAAATCCTAAAATAACCTCTCACGATCTTGACTAAAACACCACACGGGTACATACGGGTAACATACGAGTAACATTGGACACACACGGGTACATACGAGTAACATACGGATACATACGCACGCCTACGAGTAACATACGGACACATACGCACGCCTACGAGTAACATACGGACAACATACGGGTACATACGAGAATACGGGTATTCTGAAGAAGGCTGGAGTATATTAACAAAACAACCTCTGCGTCAATCTCCGAAAGACTTTGTGTACAGTAGTTCTACATTTTAAAACCCATGACTCGCTCTAAAAAGTGGAGACTGAACTGCTTTTTCTCAAAGATGTCAACATCTGTGATTGAAACGTCCTTTCAGTTTAAGGAGTGATATTCAGAATCGTTTTGGACACAAAGCAAAACAAAAAGAATCGAGAAACGTATATTTCCGCACGGCAATAAAATTTACATGCAGTCTAGCCTTAACGTAAAAGGTTGGCATGAAGGTGGTTCCTTCGTAACCTTGGAGACCTTAAACTTCTTTAAGAAAGACTTCTATCCAGAAATAAGAAATAGCTCAAAATTGTCCTTTTTTTCCCCTCACTTTCCCACGGTGATCCGTTCCATCGTGTTAAAAAAATCCCCCGCTAGTGTGGATCGAATAAAAATTAATGTTTGTAAGCAGCTATTTTTATTTCGCGAGTCAGAGCTGTCCAATACTTTTTGCAAATTGCACGTTTTGACCTACTTTACGTCTGTTTCGTTCTCTTTTGCGGCGATCACTCAGTCATCGCAGGAGCCGGCTCCTGGTCATCGGCGATATGTCTTTTAAAGAGTGCAGCTAAATGTCGTGGGTGTGGGTAAAAAAAATTATAGAAAAAATAAACAGAAAATAAATAAACAGAAAAAAGTTGTAAAATAGATAATTTTGTGAAATAAAAATCTCCGGTAAATGGTATGGGTATAAAAACAAGCAAAGAAAAAATAAGAGAATTAACAAATTAAATCGAAAAAAAGTGCAAAATTCATGAAACTAAAATCTCCGCGTACACACCAGTCCCATTCCCCTTACCCGCGGTCAGCAAAGCAAATACGAACCAGACGTAAAATATGTCGAAACGTGCAATTTGTAGAAAGTTGATGGATAGCTCTGGCTCGCTGAATGGAAATATAAATAGCTGCTTACTAAATCTTTATTCGATCTACAATTTCAATGATCAGCGGAGACTTGTTAACACGATCGTGGGAAAGGGGAGGGGAGGAGGTCTCTTTAATAGCATACGAAGAAACCACCTCCATGCTCAACCTTTTAAGTTAAGGCGAAACTGTAAATTCTATTGCCTAAAAAAGGGTTTTATTTTTAGTTTCTTGTTTTTTGGCCGTATGACTTAACACTTGCAAATCAGTGACTTTGTCCATATATTTTCAAGGTTCTTTTTTTCTAATAATTTCAAACAGGATGGTTTGAAAACACGAGGTGTGTGAGACAAGAGCCTTATTTACACTACAGAAAAAAATGGGCCCGGACCCTTAACAAAGTTGGTACGGACCAGATATTTTTGCCGTGTAAACATTCCGTACCATGTTTTCATGAAATGGATCCGACTCGCTTTTTTCTGGTTTTGGGGCCATAGCAAAACCGAAAAAAAAAAAACTAGTCTGGACCCCTTTAGCTGTTCGAAAGCTCTGTGTAAACGCATCTTCGTTCCGTACCATGTTCATATGAGCCTGCCGTGCTTTACGATGGTTTCGCGCATGTTTCAACCATAAACCTAACCTGATTGTTACCCTTGTAAACGGTTAAAAAAAAAATGGTCCTGACCACTTTTTTCTGCAGTGTAAATGGGACTAAAATGACTACCCATACAGAAATATAGTTTTCTCGATTCTTTTTCTGTTTTGTTTTGTGTACAAAATCTTTGCTGCAACGATTGAATATCATTGCTTCAACTGAAAAGACGTTTCAGCCTCGAATTTGACATCTTTGAGAAAGAACAGTTATATCCCCCGTTTTTCTTTAACCTGCTTCAGGTGTTTACAAAGAATACACTGTTTCTCCTATTTTTCGCTTAAATGTGTCCGTTTGTACTAAGAATTCGCTTATTTGCTTTTTCTCCACACAAACCTCGTCAGTTGCCAGGTTGGCTTTGTTTAGTTGCAGGGAATCGAAAGCTGAGGGTTTTTCCGTTCCTCTCTGAGAGTACACGGTCCCAACAGACCGTTTGCACGATGGCGTCATTTCACCACTACTACCAGAATCCGAATCGTTTTTCTTTTCATATTTAATTCGGTTATCCCATCGAGGTAGTTTTTTTTTAAATAAAAAGAAGCCCTAATTTGCTCAAGAAAGCAAAACCCTTCAGGATTCTGGTAAGAGTAATAAAATGACGTGATCGTGCAAATGGCTTCCAAGGTTGGTTTATTTGCAGGCACCAGGTTTCAATGTCTTGAACATTTTAATAGAACAGTAACATAGAACTCTTCTTCTTAAACGTTTACAAAAATAGATGCTAAAGGGTCTTCACTTAACCCGCGAGACTAAGTGTAAAAAGAAATCTTAAGAGAGAAAATGACAGCATCATTACATCGTCTGCTTCACGGGTTAAATATTAGGGACCTTACGAAACTACGACGGCGACGGGAACGGGAACGTCAAGCAAGCAATAGCTTTAATGAGCAAAACAACTCTGCACGTGCATGACGTTTTTTTTACAAATTCCTTCGCCGTCTCTGCACAACAAGGACGTGAAATGGCCAATTTTTTAAGTGTACTTGAGAACAGGTACGGCAAAGCGATAAATTCTACCGTGCGCGGTCCCCTCTCTTACCTAAATTCCCATCTTTTAAGTAACATGGTGACTTCAGATAATCGCGAAATAGTGTACAAGGATGAGAAGTGTATTTTTCCGCGACGTCTTAATGGACGTCGCCGTTGTTGGATCGTAAGGTCCCTATAGCCATCTAAAGAGCGACTTAATAATCTTTAGGGAAAATAAATTTGAAACATCTCACTTATCAATCACATGGCAAATCTAAATTGTAGGTGAAATAAAACCTTCGCCTAATTATTGTCTTTGATTCTGTTTAACAATCCGATGATCAGCAAAGCGTGGTCATCGCCAAAAACCCAACTTCAATCGTTCCTTCTCATCTTGATAAAAACCTTAAACATGTTGCAATACTCGCACTGTCTTCGGCCACAAGTCAATTAACTTGTCGCCTACAGGAAGAACAGTTTGTCAGCCAGTTCTGGAGAAGGTGGCTTGTGAAGACTTTGTCCAACCAAGAAGGCAAGTTTGTGGGCATACTGACACGGTGCAGGAACACGGACAGTACCCTGAAAAAGGAGGGTGGGCATTATTCTGTAAGTGCTAAGTCGAGGACCTTTTTACCGTTTGGGGATTTTAACAATTTATTATTTGGCATTTACTTTTTCCCTCCAAGAAACTACAATTGCCGACAAAATTGTTGAGACGTAAGGTAAATAAGGTAACTTCAGAGAACAAAAGAATCCACACCCCTCCTCTGTCTCCTCCATTCAAAGTTGGAGTGTTTGTTACTTTCTAAAGGTAGCTCGAACAGCGGCACAACATTGCATGGAGGGAATGGGGGAGGAAAAGCTATATTTTCCCCTTCTGAAGTCAGGAAAACGTCAAAAAGCCCCTTTAAGGCGAAGTGTCAACTCACTTTGACGACGATTGTAGCTTGGTCAGCTATTAACGAATTCAAGCGGAAATGTAACAGTAAGATAATTTAAAATTCCGTTAGCAGAATACACAGAACAAACGATCTAGTGTGAAATGTAAACAGGGTCATTTTCACTATCATAACAGGGAGCTTAAGAAAACACTATTCTGGACGATGCACGACAACGGGAAGTGAGACCACAGGCGGCCCAGGCGTAGTATGTGTCAAATGAATATATTAATATTCAGATGGACAAAATAGGACGAGTCGTCGAAACTCCCATGAACTAAACGAGTCCAAAAGTCAAAACATAACAAAACAAAGCAAAGACGCCTTTAACTGAACGTATCCTTGTCTTTCATGGCCGGTTAACGTGGCATTTTGTTGAGTTTTGCAATTGCAGGTACTATCCACTAAAGAAGAATTAAAGGCTGGCTTCAAAACAAACGGACCATCTCTATGCGCCTTCAAGCGAAGCGCTATAAATTCGAGAATAATCGACGAATCCGCTCCAAATTGCCATCGGCTAATCTGCAGGTAACGTGTGCTCCTGCTTCTTGCTCGCTCGCTTCACAAAACCCATCGCAACTGCACAATAATCGCTCGCTCATCAAAAACACTGTTGACCTTTACGCTTCGATATGACCGCTAACTACCAGGTTTAATACGCGACGTGAATATTCAAGCTTAGCGACCGCGTCCGCGCGACAATGCAGCACTTGCTATGGGAGGGATGGTACTATTGCTTCTAGGTCAATCGACACTGAGCGAGGGTCCGCTGCTTTAGTTTTGACCAGAAAACAAAAGGCGATCGCGCGAACGTCCGTAAATTTTCAACACGGCGGGCCTGGTTCTCAAGTTCGAATTCTTCTAGCGTTCGCTGTCACAGCTGCCGTCACATTGTTCGTCCAGCCGCTTGCAGAGGTTCTTGACTCTACTGGACCCATTTGCTTCGATTAATTAAACTAGGGGTACCTTCCGGCAAGTGCCAACGAGGCGAACTCGTTTATCTTTTGTGGAATGTGCCTATTCAGATCTTCGCGATATTTTTTTCAGAATTTTAAAGGTTCAAAATGGATTCCGTACAAGAAAAGGACGGCACCCAACTTCAAAACAACAACTTTGGCACATTCTAGCCTTTCACTTTTATTAAACAATCACAACATGGCTTGAAGCTTTGTTGGTAAATATGAGCAAGTTAGCACTTGTGTTTCTTGGAAAATTCCATTGTATCAAAACTGCAAACGTTAGAATGAAAAATATAGTTTAAATGAGGCCTTTGACTGCTGAAATTAAAAATAATAATTAAATTCCGAGCAACAGCGCCACCAGGGATAAGAAAAATATTTCGCGTGGTAATATACAGTCACTAGGAAAAATTGGTGTAAAGCAAAATGTGTGAAAAGCGCAGGAATGGGGCGGAATGTATCAGAGGTTTAAAACTATAACCTTGAATAAAATACAAAGATCTAATGAGCGAGTGTCACAGGAAAAAGAGTCTCTTGAAAGGCATAATAATAGTCTTCAAAACAAAAGGTCCGCAAATTCGATGCATTCCTCACGGGAGTTTTGGGTTGTCTCAATTTAAATCGAGCAGCAAAAAACATGCTGGTTGACAAAATCTCTCGAAAGACATAGACAAATTCTAAAAAAAAAATGAAAGGTCCGCCAATAGGTTGCATTCCTCACGGGAGCTGAGGACTGGCTCAATGTAAATCGACCTGGGAAGAACACGCTGGTTCTGATAAAAGTTTTGAGAATATAACCCTACGCCTTGATCAACTACCTCTTAAAATTCAGTTCACAAAGGAAAAGAGAACACTGGAAACCCTGGTTCTGAGTCGAGAAGCGAACGCGCTATCTCCATGTAAATCGAGCTGCAAAGAACAAGCTGGTCCTGACAAATATTTCAGCGTAAAACCCTATTCCTTGATTAGCTGCCGCTTTAAACGCAATTTATAAAGCAAACCAGGGCACTAATTGCCCTTAAATTAAAGCTTGCACATCTGTTAGGTCCTCTTGAACAGACAACAAACAGCTGCGCACTGTGTCACCCAATTTCGGACCAAGTTGTAAATACAAGACCATGATGTCACTACCCAAATATGGGGTCTTACTTACACCCAAATATGGTCAAAAATGCAAATTTTAGAGGGTTACGCAGAATTTAAGAGTTTTTGCCTACATTGCGCGGCGTTATAATTCTACCGCCGAGGCAACCTCGCTTCTTAGCTCGGTTGCCTCGTTGGCAATAAACGGTTCTTTCCAGAACAACGTCTTACTCCACAATATGTTGTCCAAACTGGCGAGGGAGGACGAGGATTTTCCGCCCAGGAAAAAGGCAAAATCTGGCCACTGCTATGCAGCTGAATAGAAGATACAGCTAAAGATATGGTTAAGTAAAATTTATGTGCGCGTATTATTATTATTATTATCATTATTATTATTATTATTATTATTATTATTTTCAAAACTCAGGGACACCCAACGACGACTTCCCCACATTTAAGGCTGTCCAGAGTACTTTCGATCTCTAAAACTCCATTCTAAGCGGCGCTAATACATAAATTTAGTCAGGAGGGCTAAGAGCGAAGCTCTTGATAACATTTATATTTTGCTCATACTAAATATCAAATCGAAGCGGAGAAGGCAATGACACAGGGACACCCAACGACGGTTTCCTCAAATACATTGAAACCACTTTTTTAGCTATTCATAAAGTACTTTTAGCTCTATGGAGATGCATTCTAAGTGGCACTATAAAATTGGTATCTCAGTGTTCGGCCATTCTAGGGGAACTTGAGTCTTTTCGAAATTACGAGGAATTCAGAATTATTTTCCCGAAAATTTTAGATGCAATTTTACGTATTAAGAAGGAGATACTTTTTCAGATTCCTCCTTTCATCGCATTTTTGAATCCGCAAATTTTAGGATTCCTTTTTACTTGCTACGAAAAATAACCTTACCCGGGCAGTGAAATGTGAAAACTTAAACTTCAGAAAATCGTAGGGAATTTATTAGCAAGGTTAGATGAGCTTCGAAAATTGTACATGAAGGGAATGGTCATCCAGAAATTTTTAGCCAAGTGAAAGAAAATTCTACGCAAAATTTGCTTCTCCGAACAGATATTTTACAGAAAACAGTCGTTGGATGCCCTTGACCAGAACTGTGAAAAACAACAATAGGTCTAATTGCAGCACACTTTCTTGTACAGTTCCTTGCCGTTGATTTGCATGACTGCAACGTGAAACGTCCAGAAAACTTCCTGGTTTTCTTTTCTAGAGGAAATGTGGTACATGTTCTTGTTCACTTTTTCCACTGCCGCTCATTTTGTTTTCTGTTCCGTGATCCTAGAAATTGGACCTTTTTGAAAATTACAAGGGCTTCAATATTATTTTTCCGATTGATTGAGCTAGAAGCAATTGTACCATCCCTCCCATAGCAAGTGCTGCATTGTCGCGCGGACGCGGTCGCTAAGCTTGAATATTCACGTCTCGTATTAAACCTGGTAGTTAGCGGTCATATCGAAGCGTAAAGGTCAACAGTGTGTGATGATCAGCGAGCGATTATTGTGCAGTTGCGATGGGTTTTGTGAAGCGAGCGAGCAAGAAGCAGGAGCACACGTTACCTGCAGATTAGCCGATGGCAATTTGGAGCGGATTCGTCGATTATTCTCGCATTTATAGCGCTTCGAGTGAAGGCGCGTGGAGATGGTCCGTTTGTTTTGTAGCCAGCCTTTAATTCTTCTTTAGTGGATAGTACCTACAATTGCAAAACTCAACAAAACGCCACTTTAACCGGCCAGGAAAGACAAGGATACGTTCAGTTAAAGGTATCCTAGCTTTGGTTTGTTATATTTTGACTTTTGGACTATTTTAGTTCATGGGAGTTTCGACGACTCATCGCATTAATTTGTCCATGTGAATATTAACATATTGACACACACTACGTCTGAGCCGCCTGTGGTAAGACCTTTTCCCTTTTAATATCCCTTGACGCCACCACATTTGTCCACATTTGTCTCTTACTGAGACGAATTGCCAAGACAATTAGGCAAAATTGCTGCCCAGGGCCGAGTTGTTTAAAGCTGGGTTAAGATAATCCAGGGTTAGTGCGAAATTTGAATTCACATATGAGAGCTTAAAAAGCAAATTCAGTTTGATTCTTGTCATCTACAATTTGAAGATAGAACACTCTAAAAAGAATAGAGGAAATTATCCGAGAAAGTGCTATTGATAAAGAGGAAAAGAGACCTGGGCCGAGTTGTTCAAAGCTAGGTTAAGATAACCAAGGGTTAGTGTGAGATTTGAATTCAGATTTGAAAGCTTAAAAAGCATTTCAGTTTTAATTGTTTTGTCTACAAGTTGATGATCAGAAGCTCTAAAAATAACAGAGAAAATCATCCGAGAGAATGCTTTTAAACACAACAAAAAGAAACCCAGGTTAAATTTAACCCTGGGTTAAGTGATAATTTAGGCGTTTTTTAGGAATGAAAATGTACATTTTAGCTAAGAGAATTCAGTAGCATTCAGCTGATTCCTTATATAAAATCTGCATACTATTATGTATCCGAAGAGAATCATAATTGTTGCCTTATCTTATTTGCCGAAGTGTCAGCAAGTGTTAGACCTTTTTTAAAATAGATTTTAAAAAATAAGAAACTGTTAATAAAATTTTAGGTCAACCAGGTTCTTACTGTATTTTAATTATTTCACTTACAGGCCAGTTGTAGTAGAGGTGAGTAAGCTTGTAGGACAAACGCTGGAGATGATCTGGTTTTAATCCAGAATTGTCTTCAATCACATTGAAGTGAGTGGGCGACACTGTTCCCTGACGAACAGACTGACTCACAAGGAAGAAATCATACCTGAACAATAAAATAATTAGAGTAAATGAATAGTGAATTTTCTGTCTATAAAACTCAGCCCTAGTGCGGATTGCTCGTAACCCTTTCATACATACCTACGTTGGAGTTGCATGCAGTGAAACAACCGTTGAAAGACGTATCCCATTCAATAGTGAGGGAACAGTTAGAACATCCAAAACAAAAGACAGGTATGCAGAGTTCATACAAAAATTGCAACCATTTCTTAAGGACTTTTCAAGGACCACATTCAATTTTCAAGAATCACCTACTTTTCACGGAATGTAAAAAAATGCACATTTCAAGCCCATTGTAACAGGACTCTAAGGGTTGAACTGTCTGCTACACCAACTTCTCAACTTTTTTTCACCTCACTTATCTTAAAATGTTAATTATTGCATAAAACAAAAAACGCGTTATGAAAATCACCTTTAACGCTTCTGAGCTATGAATTATATTCTGTATTGGACAACCAAAAAGAATTAAAAACACTTTCCAGGACACCAGGGTTCGCACAGAAAATTGAAATCTTTTTTCAAGGACCAAAATTATTTTTCAAGGACCCTTCATGGAATGTCATGTTACTCGTTTCGCAAAATAAAGCGTTCTGTACCTTTCAAATTAACAGCCACCCATCGATGTTAAAGCGATAGTTTTGTTGCATACAATGCAGATTGCTTTCTTCGAATCGCCTTTAACTTGCCTAACCCATTTATACTCTTCAATAGTTAACCACTTAGGGTTAAAACTGCACTTTCCATGGATTTTGCAGCGAAACCAACGACAACGCAATGTTTCAACTCTGTAATCTCAAGTCAGCTACATGTGGCATGCGCAAGAGCATTACAACTCATATACACAACCGCTGATCAATCTGGTCTCGGCTCACATTTTGGGTCGTGTTCGGTTTTGCCTTAAATTTTACAAAATTCTTTGCATTTTTTTTTACAAAATTAAAACGAAAGAACACCCTAATCTTCACGATACAACTTTCCTGGTACTCTTCAGAGTCTATGTTGGCGAAAATTCAAGGACTTTTCAAGACCTTATCGAGGAATTCAACGACTTTTCAAGGATTTACTCTAAAATTCAAGGACTTTTCAAGACTGTGCGAACCCTGGACACTACATTCAAAGTTGAAGAAAATTCAAGGACTTTTCCATGACTCCCCCTAAAATTCAAGCACTTTTCGAGACTATGCGAACCCTGGTATTGGAAAAGAAAAAAGAAAAGGGACTGCTTGTGAGGTATTAAAGCCAATTCAGCCTGTCAGTTTCCAACCTTTACCTAAGCCATCTGCAACTTCATGACAGGCAAGGGATATTGTAATTGGCATTCATGTATGTAATAACATGCATGTAGTTTACAAGAAAGTTATTGGAAAACTGAAAAATGAAGATTACTCTACGTAACAAGCCCTTTCAATGTGAACATTCATACCATTGAGGGCGAGTGATGTCAGTGTCGACAACAGTTCCTGGAGGCGGGTTGGTAGGGTTTCTACCTTTGGTAAACAACCTCGCACTGATCCTTTTTTTAACAATGATGACAGTTAACTTGGGCCTGAAAAAAACATGGGATGTAGATTCAGATTATAAGTGCTTACTAATAGTCAAAACTGCTTACCAAAAATCAAAACCTGTCATCTTGAAAATGAAATAGGTGTTTTCGAGAGTTTTTGCTGTAAGGCCATGCAATATCCTCTATGTTTTAATGGACAGTGTTGGTCTCCTGACTTGAGGTATGATTGGCCCATTAAAAAGGCCATTGTCGATTTGCCAATCAGG